ACCTCTGTAGCACAACTGTTTCATGCTACAGGCATTTTGGAACTCTAGCTGTGTCCCAGGGATGCAGGTCCCCATTAGTGTTTGGAGCACACGAGGGGCAACGCTGGGGAGCACCACTGAACTTGGTTTCCTGTGAAGGGACTCCAGCTCTCATGCTTTGACTCCTCCCCATGGTGCACACCTTGGCTCTTGAGTTAGGATGAGCGGGTGAGGTCCAAAGCACTGTCTTGCTCCAGACTAACATGCCAGTGTGGGTGCACCCGCTATTATCATCAGGGAGCCAGGAACTTGAGGAGCTGCCTTCCCTTTAAGCTGCCAGCTCAGTGATGCTCATTTTCCACCAGGATATCTTGTTCCCTAGTTGTCCAGGGGGTAGTTCCAGCCTCCTTTCCTTTGGGATACTGACTTCTTCGCAGCCTGCTGACAACCTAGAGAAAGCTCTCTTAGGCTCAGGCAACAGCACCCCGAGACCAAGGTCCCCATACTGTGCAGGAGTGCCTCACCCCAACACCCACGCAACTGTGAGGTCCCAAGGTGTCCCCATGGGTGGAAACACCTTCCCGTTGTGAGCTAACCTGCCACACACTGAAGCTGGCCTGTCTTACACAGAGCCGATGCCAAGAAGTGCATTTTACAGCACTGCCTGAATGGGATGGGGTATGCAGCTTTTCCCTGAGGTCGACCATGACAGGAAGCAGTCTTGCTGGTGACGTGGTTGGAGACAGCTGAACCCAGCCCTGACCCCATGGGAAATGGTGGCATTGGTACATTTGATTTTCTAATGCAAACTGGTTGATTCCCCAGTTGGCTTATTTAAAGCTACTTCTAGCTTTTTAAGGTTTCTGGCTGGTAGTTTTCAGAAGTCTTATGCAACTCTTTCAGATCTGTGAACAACCAGATGAAATAGGAAGTTAGGAAGTGCTGACTTTCTCTCTCTTACCTGGTCCTGGAGAAACTTAGAAGTTTTCTTGTCTATAGATAGATGCATCCCACCCAAAGTTGACAAACAAACCACTCTCCATCAAACATGTAACAAATCCATGGAATGATGAAAACAAGTCATGGGACTGTAACCTTTAATGGATAATAAATTTATGCCCAAAATGCAGCCTGAGAGTGGGCAAAATTGTTTGCTACTCTTTGAAAGGTATGGTCCCTGGTTTCAATTTTAGAAACTGGTGAAAAATAGGAGACGACAAAATCTGTAACTGCAAACATTTCTTCAAGTGTATCAGTTTTCTTCCAGAACGCATTTTTTCTCTTCCAGAAGAAAAATGGATTTGGTTTGTTGGTATTTTTTTAAAGGAAAAAGGGAGTAAAGTCAAATGAAATCTCAAATATTTTTATTATTAAGCTTGACAAAACAGAAAGATCCTTTTGATGTAGTTCTGTTTACATGGCTTGCTGGGTGCTCTATCATGTGTGACACAGGAGACCGGATCCAAATCTGGGACGTCCTTTTTCCATAGCATTTGACTTCTGTGGATCTGTGATCTGAAGAGGAACCATGGCAGACAGCCACTCTTCTGGCCATCGCGTTCAAGTACCGGCACTTTTTGTTTCTGAAAAAGCATTTTTTTCAAAAGGAGGGTTTGCTAAGCACCCTCTACGTTCACAGCTCACTTGGGTTATTGAATGCCATGAGGCTCACTTCTCGCTGATTTTGGCTTGTCAAGACAGACTTTTGCAATAATCCACAGGTTCTCTTTGACCATCATCTTCATTGCCCAGCACTGCAGAAGCTTTATACCCCACAACACTGGTGTTGGGGTGAGGCAAGGAGGGAGACACTCATGCGTAGTATGGGGAGCCTGGTCTTGGGACGATGTTGCCTGAGCCCAAGAGAGCTCGCTCTATGTTGTCAGCAGGCTGCAAAGGAGCCAGACCCCAAAAAGAGTTTTGTTCACCTGGGTTGTAAATGGCAATTAAATAGAATCATGGGAATTTGACAAGGCAGCACAGACCTTTCCTGAATTTAAGTCCCAGTCACTCAAATGTCTGGGTGGGCTATGAGAGTAACCCGTCTATCCCACTCCAACCTACCCCATAAATGTTTTTATTTTTACCCCTGAAAACATGACAGACATCTTATATGAATAAATCAATTTTATTTAAATAAAATTACAAGCATATTTTGTCTATTATAAACTACCATTTAGTTTTTTAAAGGCACCAATATTTAACAATAATTTAAATTTTCTTGAGAGCAGCTACCTTCTGAGTGGCATTTGTAAACTTGTCAGACTTGCCTTCACTCATTCAACTCAAGCAAAATCTGTTGCTAGTGAAATGCCAAAGGTTGTACCTTTTCCATCATAATAGGTACCTTAATCTTCCTGGGCATCTCTTTTGAACGAGAAGAACATGTCAGGAGTTCTGCGTAGCAAAAACCTGGCCTGAAACAGGGTGTTTCTTTCCTTTGTGGCACCAAAGATACTTCAGGCACAAAACCCCACTATGACACTCACTCTGCATGTACTGTCAGCACCAAAACTTAAATCCAAGAGACTATGTTTCTTTGAGGCTTCAGGATCTGTTTTTCCTTGCATTTCTTCAAGCTTAATAATGCAATGCCACCTTCTCTTCTGTGAAGAGAGAGTTTTTGTAAGAAGCCTGCCCTACAGGTCTGTGTCACAGACTGCATTGTCCTCCAGGCTGGGCTTCTTCAGAGGCATCTTTGCTAAGCATGGTTGCACCAAGACCATCAGAGGTGTCTGACAGGCTTACGCCCCCAGTTCTCTGATCATTTACAGGAGATTCACAGCAGGGAGACAAAGGGAGAGAGAGGTGATACTCTCAGCAGGCTGAGTCTTGCTCAGGGTCACTCCCAAGAAGATGCACAGACCTACAGCCACTGCTGGGCTAATGCCCAGGTGCAGTTAAGGACAGAGCCAGAGCCACCAAGCCAAGGCGGTCACAGGAGGAACCGCGGCACGCAGCCACTCCTCTGGCCATTGCGTTCGAGTAACGGCACTTTTTGTTTCTGAAAAAGTGTTTTTTTCAAAACGAAAGTTTGCTAAGCACCCTCCACGTTCACAGCTCACTTGCATTATTGAATCCCATGAGACTCACTTCTCACTGATTTTGCCTTATCACAACAGACTTTTGTAATAATCCCCAAGTTCTCCTTGATATACAACCATCATCTTCATTGTCCAGCACTGCAGAAGCTTTATACCCCAACCATGCCAGATGGAAAAAAAAATATGCCCTTCAAAAAACCCCCAACAATTTAGAGATGAGTGATGTGGCACAATGAAGATAAGATTATAGCTGGGCAGCAACGACATGCTGCATTTGGCCAATGCATCCCTGCTGCAATTAACAGGCAAGCACCTCAGCAAAGCTGTGGATTTTCCTTCTGGCTTATGCCAGCAGAAAATCTGGTTTTAATGGAACCACAGTAATGAAACTCAAGTCTTAGATCTGCAGAGTGGAGCCTTTGTCTTCAAGGCCAGGCTGGATGAGGCTTTGAGCAACCTGGTCTAGTGGAGGGTGTCCCTGCCCATGGCAGGGGGGTTGGAACTGGATGGTCTTTAAGGTCCCTTCCAATCCAAACTAGTCTATGATTCAGAGCTTACAGTGAGACCACTGCAAAGCTGAGACATGGAGCTACAAAAATGTCATACCGATACCTAGCATACAAGAATGTCCTGAGACAGACTTCATTAAAGTTTGCCAAAATCTCTAATGTCCTTCAGAGAAAGGCACTGAAGAAGGGCAAACAATTATTAAGAAAAGTGGCGATCTTTGATTATGCACCTGCAGTTTCCCATTTTACATTTCTAAACACAGAAATGTCTGTGAGCCAACTATTCTTGCTGTCCAAAGTAGATTCATCTGCATAATGTGACACCTGGTTACACATGTCACTTCACCGTACTTGGGAAGAATCTAAAATAGTTTTAAAAATATTACCAACTAAAGTCTTCTAAGAAGACATATCAAAGCTCAGACAGTTTATCATGCTTTTCTTCCTGCTCAGGTTATCCCTTTTGTTTAGAGATACAGCACCTTAATATTTGTACAGTATTAAACGTAATTTATCAAGAAAAGCAGTGAAGAAACTTGCATTGTTCCTGCCTATGAGAAGCAAAGTACTTTCTGAAGATCTCCTTCAGAATAATCAACCTCACTGATTTTGGAAAGGCGTTGATAAGCCTGATGGTCTAAAATCCAGCATCAACAGCATGTGCAGCTAAGGAAGGTGTTCCTTGAAAAAGAGAAGTTAAAAGGTGGGTTCTAAAAATGAAGTGAATGTGTATGCTGCATTGAAGGTTAAATAGCCTTAGGAAAAGCCTTTAATTTTGTTTCTGAGTTCTGAGAGCCCTTTGAGCTACAAACTATTTTATTGCCTATCTTTTCAAGCAATTGGCTTACTGCAATTAATCATTTTATGTTAATGATTTTCCTGGTTCACACTGAAAAAAAAAAACAGGTGCTGGATCCAGTCACATGTTTACTATGACCCCTGCTGAAATTCCACCAAATTCCACTGAAGGGAAGGACCTAACTTCGGGAAGGAAACCGGCTTTTTGGCCAGGCACTGCCCCACTGGGCAGCCCTTGGCCTTCCCGGAAGAGAAGGGACTCCAGGAGCTGCGGGAAGCAGTCACTTCACTGCCTTTCAACGTCAAGTGATAGCACAGAGGCAGGACTATCCAGGCATGAGAACGAATAACTGCAGTGGCTTTTGGCCATCGTACACCCCTTTGGTCCTCCTACCAGGTTTGGTGGTGTCTCTGCAGGAGTGCACAGGTGACGCAGCCCTCAAGGGAACGCTGATTGGGTTTGCAGGGAGTCGTTCTTTCCGGTCAACGTAAAGCCACAAGCAGAGACAGAAAAGTGTTAAACAAGACTGCTGCAAGACTCTGATTTTTTTATCTTGTTCTACTGTTTCCCAAGTCTGCTGAGTTATTTATGCACAGTTATTTGCAGGGTACAAACACACTTATTTGGACACCCTAATTAGGGAAACAGCCTGTTCAGCAGCAGCTGGAAGACATTTTGCTTAGCTTTTAATGAGGCAAACACAGAGACTTCATGCCACCTTAGCCAGACCAAGTCTCTCTAATATTAGCCTGGTTTTCTCTGAAGCATGAGTAAAGCAAGGTACTAGTGCAACCACCACATATCAATACCAAGCTTACCCTCCACAAAGAAGGATGTAACTGTGTAGATGTAGACAGTACCCGGGGGGTGATATCTGTGTAGCAAGTTGTAGTGAAGAATAAATAAGATGGCAAATAAATCTAGAAATGAGGTATCAATTAGCCTAATGGTAGAGCAGGTAAACTAGTCAAGCCGTATTCACACTAAATTTCATCTTCTGACTCCTGATCTCGTTCAGATGTTTTCAGTAATCCCATTTCCATGGACTGGGAGTGTTTAACCCTTGAACGAACTGCCCTGGAAACAACAACAACAAAAAGAGCTGTCAGTAGTAACTCAAGGGCTAATCTGGCCATTTTTCCATGGTAAAAAACTGTTTAACTCTTGCATCTCATCGAGGAATTAGGTTTATTGATTTATGAAGACTTGAAGTGAGCCATTGTGGCGATCACACATGGCAGAATCAGGCTTGTTTTTACAACCATGTTAACTCTGCAGCTGGAATTTTGTCAGATCTAGCATTGGGCAGGGAGGAAAAGGGCTATCTTTAGAAATTAGGGGATGAAACTCGGTAGTGAAAAAGAAATCAGGTCTAATAGCAGGAAATTGCCAGCAATGAAACCTGTCCAATAATCTTCAAAGTCATGAAGCCTGCAGACTAAGGCACTTGGAATTAGTAGAGATGAGCACTGTGAGAGAGACATAGGAGTAGAAGGTTTCTCCTCCTTGTAACATTTTATGCACTTAAAAATGTGGAAGACTATCAAAAAGAGCTCATTTTATGTGAGAAGTATTATGCTGTCAGAGCTATTGGTTAGAAATATCTATTTTTATTTTACCTTGCAAGACAATTAATTATTTGTGGAAACCTTTTGATTTGTCGGTGAAACTTTTCTCAAATAAAGCTCCCGCTAGACTAAATAGACAGGTCTCCAAAGTTTTAGTGTTTCAAGTAACTTACCAGCTGACGATTGTGTAATTCACTGCAAGTATAAGAAAAGCAAAGGCATAATGCCAGCAATAGCACATGGTCAGAAACATCATATTAGTATGATCTGTCTGATTCCACTCTGGGCTCCCATTTGGAGGATAAAGGACAAAACCAATCTGTAATTAAAAAAAAGATAATTAGCAATTATATATCCTGTGCTGTATCATGTATTATGCTACCCATCACAAGGCAGACATTTCATTTTCCTATCATGCTGAATATTTATTTCTGTGATTATTATAAATGATTTTGCAGTCACACTCAGGATCATTTTACACAGTTTTGTGCAGAAGTGCCTTTGGAGATGCAGAGCCTGCCCCAGAGACCCACTGCTCTTGCCCAGCGAATAAAGAAGCTGGCCCAACAAGCCCTGCAGCAATTACAATTACAGAAAGGAAGGTGATTACAATTAAGGAAAGAGGCTGGTGCTCAGCCATGTAGGGTCTGAACTGCAAGCTCATCACCGACCAGCAAACCTGCCTGGCCATTTGCACTGACTCGCTTCTTCCCAACAGCATCTGGGAATGTGTTAGATGGTTCAGAAGATGAATAATAAATTAATAAATAAAGGCGACCCATAAGCCTGTTTCTTCTGGGTCATCCAAGGTCAGGTTTTCAATTACATAAAAATGGAACTTCCTCACCCAAGGCTATAAGTTCGTGTGAAATACGTAGATGACTTGTTTATTCAGAGCTGGGAAAGTTCAAATTCAGATTAATGCATATGCTGGGAAACTAGTATTCCCATGGCTACACAGGGGTCTGCCTTGACAAGCACCCATCGTCTGTGCTGCCTAGTACTCTTCAGTCACCACTCAGCAGTTCAGCTGAAAATTTAGGAGATGGGAAGAGAGGGAGAGGAAGGAGGATGGGAAGAGGGATTTTGCATTTCCATGCAGAGAATTCCATGAATGAGGGTGTTGATGATTCAAAAAGTGAGTCCCTTCACCTTTTCCAAATTTGTCATGCTGCAACCAGTATGTGGGTTTCAGTCACTCATATGGCTGAAGTCTGATGCAAGTATGAAAAATGCCACACTTAAATCTCTTGTATTTTTAGTTCTTCAGTTTTTTACTTTGAAACAAAAAACACATTGTCTCCAGAGCTAAAGAAATAACTTGTTCTAAAATTAGACTAGGCAGACAACAAAGAATAAATGGTTGCATCTAGTTCTTCTTCTGTAAAACTTCTTAAAACACCAAAGAGGAGTTTACAAACAGGAAAATAGAACACCAAGTGCTGCAGCACCAGGTTCTTGAGTTCACTTATAGAAAACTACTGCCGTGTCCGAGGTCTGTCTTCTTGCCAGAGCAAGTATTTAAATATTTGATTTGGTGCTGAGTGTCCAGTTCTCCTAAGGAACAGCAAACGTTTTTATTAATCGTGTCTGGCCAGCATATAAAAAAGGGAAGCCAGTCTAGACATGCTGGAAAGAAAAATCACTGGTGTGACCTCAGTTCGCCACTGCAAGATGAAACACACATTGGCACTAGCGCTCCTATTCCTTTGTTCCAAGATCACAGCAATTCACTAAATCCTCCCTCTTGACTGACAGCACAGAAAGGGTCACTATCAAATATCTATTCATTGGATAGAACAACACGTGAGTGAAGGCATGGCAACTATATTTTGAAAAGTCCTTTTGGGAGCCACATCCCGGAAATATAAAAGTTTGGGCTGTTACTTCTCCCACTTAGTTTCCTGAACGCTGGAAGAGCAGTAGGCTTTACATCACTTGATCTCTTAATGTGAATTGGGAGCCCAAACACCTTTAAACTTAGGTTGCCACAGCTGAAATGCTTTGTACAAAGTAGAAAGATGCAGCCAACATGACCGATAATTCGCACCTCCGTTCCTCTCCATGCAATGTCAATGGGTGCTTTGCCTCACTTGTCCCGTACTCCGCCGGGCATTTACTCACTGCTCCAGCAGCTGACAGTGGGAACTGTCTTCATAAGGAACAGCATATATTGCTGGGCTGTAAAATCCCTGCCATCTGGCTGGTGAATTTTGAACAGGATGTAACAGAGATCAGAGGGGCTGTTTAATCGCAAGGGAGAGCTCGTCAAAACCACCTTAGCTTTTTTATTGATTCAATTAGAAGACACCAGGGGGAAAATGGCTTCTTCATCCTTAAAACAGATACAATAAATACTTTTATCTCTTTAAGGGGCATTAAGAGTGCATTGTTATCTATGAGTCCTTTGAGGTCTGTGTCTAAAAGCCATATTATATCACCTATGAAACATCTACAAAGGGGTAAATGACTAATTTTGGCGAAGGAAGAAATTTCTAAGGCAGAAAAGTGACCTACCTGCCAGAACCAGCTGCCCTGTAATAAGCAGAGGCTTGTACGGAGCATCTCTAGCACAATACTGCCGCGGAAGAAGACTTCCAGAAATATGCAAACAGCAGCTCCAAAGACAGCAAATAGCAACAACTGATGAACATGAACATCCAGCATGGCTCTCCCATGAAGATGGTAGCAAAAGAGAAAACCTGGAACGAAGTAAGCAATCAGTTTAAGATATTTTCTTTCCTTGTAGTCACGCTGTGTTTGCTTTTAGAAAACAGTGAACCTTTAGCATTTCTCTTTTGCCACTATCTCCTTCACAGCTGAACGGAGAAAAAATTTTTAAGACTGATGCCTACGTGCTGTGTACTCCCACTCTTGGGCTCAGACCAAGAAACTGCATGGGAAGCTGCAGCTCTGTCACCTTTTGTTTAAAGCACGTTAACAAAAGGTGTCATTCATCTGTCTCTGCAGTGTAACAAGTGGGATGCTATGAGATATACTGTGTGTTCAGAAAACATAAACTGAGTGTGTCTCCAGTGAAATTCCAACATGCAATTGCTGTGCAGGTAAACGCACTCTCACTGGTTTTAGCTAACCAGTCACGTACCATGTCAGTACACACATTGAAGCACATCCTGAGCACTGAGCACTTACCCAAAACAGGCTTTTGCTGCTATTTGCATAACATTTCTGTCGCTATCTGAGCCAGCAAGGAAAGCGCAGATACACCCCTGCAATGTGTGATCATGCCCTGGCCTGCAGTGCAGCTCAAGGAGGGCCAAGACCAAACTTTTTTAAGCATTTCAGGGAGTTAAACACCCAGCTCCCATAAGCTCATTCTCTTAGGCTGCTTTGAGATTGATGATACCCCTCTGCAGGTTTCACACACACCTCTGCCGGGAGAGGTAAACTGACCTTCAATAAACACTGCTAAGGAAAGCATCATCCTGTCCATGGCCACTGGCAGTGCGTTGGTCCCATGAGCCACGATGTCAACCAGCCCTGAAATGCCGTAGAAGAGGTACATGGTGGCGTGTTGCCAGTTCATCAAGTGATCCCAATGCTTTTCCTCATAATTATACAATTTCAGATGTGGTCCATCAGGAACAAACTGCTCAGCCACCATTCCTGTGCATGAAACGAGAAGTATGACTATTTGTCCTGGTGCTTGAGGTATAGACTGATGATAAGTCTTTATGCAAACAATAGAGGCAACAACATATCACCATGCAACATAACGCCAGTCAATCTGGGGTTTAGGCTGGCTTCCTGAGGACTGCTCTGGGTCATTGTTATGTTTTGCTCCTTTCTGCCCAGTTCAGCCATTCCCAGTAAAGTTTTTAACATTGTCCAAATTCAAGTGAAAGTGCACAGAGGCTTCAAAGATATTAATTTCACGTAAATTTTCAAGAAAATAGGCAGTGGAGAAGAGATGAAATAAGTTGCTTTGCTGGGGGAAAGACCACAGAGCGAGCTCAAGCATATATTAAGCATCACACAATCCAGAGAGAAGAAAGCCAGAGCAAACCAGGCTTCAGCTCCACTCCTGGTGGGACTATTTGCATCTTGCCATTTCCAGCAGTGAAAATGGAGACAGCTGTTCTGTGCTGCCTTTTTTTTTAAACAATTGCTATTGTAGTAGTCCTCTGACTGAATTTTTCCACTGCCTTTCCCAGTGGTTCAAACATAACACATGCTGAAGTCCCCAAAAGAAAGATTTACCATTTCAGTCCCCTGCAACAGGCAGGATGACAGAGTTCAGACTCTTAATCAAAGGCCATTTTTCCTATAAAGCCATAAAAGGAAATCCCTCCACAGTGTAGAGTCATTAAAAGTCCCATGAGAATATACACTGAGTTAGTATTTGAATTGCTGCTCCACCGCCTCCCTTACCTTGGCCTCTTGGTCTCTTGCTAACTAGCCGCAGTACTCTAGAAAGGGGAAAGCTGCTTTTAAATACTTTATATAATCAATGAAGTTTGAGAAGGGTTTAAAATAAACTATGCTTTTAAAACATTAAAGTTTTTATATTGTTCATAAAGCATGGGCCAGCATCCTGCTGTATAAGCAGATATGCTGCAGAGCAAATGCAGTGTTTTCCACCTTTCTTTCAAGTTTTCCTAACATAGAAACTGCAGGTTTTACTCCTGCTGTTGCTTTTACTGCTTGTCCTTGTCAGGCTTTCTCATCCACATTTTTGACTGGAACTGAAATTACCATATGTTAATAGCTTTTTGTTTTGGGGCAAAACTGAAAACACTAGATGAATGTTTTAGCTGCCCAACTACCTCTAGACACTGAGTAGAATATTCGTAGAAAAGGTGTCCCTGCTCACACTTCAAAATGAACTCGATTATTTGGGGTTTGATAAACTTTTAAGGCGTATCAAAGTGTATACTGTACACACAACATCACTTTAGGGCTTAAGTATCTTAACTGATACAACCCCCAGAGAGGAACAAAAAGCGAGAACAAGATTTTGGCACAGCCTGCACCTTGATGAGAAATGAGGCAACTCTGAGCAAGTGAAGAAGAGTAGATTGATAGAATTTAAAAATCTAAAAATCTTAAACATTAAGATCCTTTTCAATTTGAGAGCCACATATGCTGAGCTCCCAAAGTCTCCTGTTATTTAGCTTACTTACTCTATACAGGTAAATTGCTAACATACAGCCTGCTGGAATGTGAACAAGACCTGTGCGCTTCCAGTTGGCTGCACAGCTCACTAAACCATCCCCGTGGGTTTGCACCCGGTCCAGGCCCCAACAGAAGGAGAGACAGCCCCCTGCCCCTGCTCTGCTGCACACAGTCCTGCGACAATCAGGTCTGGAGTTCAGTCCCTGTGTGTATTTTCCCTTTTGAATAACTTTAATGAAGAAGCACCTGCGTTTACGCATTTTATCAGTGACTCAGTGGAGAATACTGACATCTGAGATGGCTCGATTCAAAATGGAAAAGCGGTGCCCCCTCACTCTGAGGCTCCCAGTCAGCATGCGAGACCCCCTTGCCTAAATATCGTCCCTGAAGTAGTGAAAGCAGATGAACACTCAGATGGACCAGCTGTGGGGTAGTCAGGACACCCTAAAGAAGCTCCAGAAGACGCCTGTGGTTGGAAACCACATTACAGTCATTAGCTATGTAATTAATAGCAGTAGCCCCACTAGGTCTTAGGTTTGTGGTGTGTAAAGGACAAGATACTAAAAAGCAATGGGATATGTTTTATCAGAGAACAAAATTTGAAGGAAAAAAAAAAGGCATTAAAAGGCACAGCCTCTTTGCTGTGTGCCCCAAGTGCCTTACTTACCAATCAGGGCAAAAACAGCTTTGATGATCCCCTCGACAAACTCCAGGCGCTGAAATCCTGCCCTGGAACCAAGGTAGCAAACGTTCTTGTTTTTTCGACAGGCGTATTTCAGCGGATACTTCACTGACCACCATAAGCCAAAAAGAAGGAAAAAGCTTCCAGGGAGGGCATGCCCTTTGAAGTTGCCCATGGCTTTCTGCTAGGCGATACCTGAAGGTGAAACAAATGCAGATTGATTGTGGAAATAGTAGATCTCTGTGGGTTATAATTTAAAAACATCTCCTTGCTTACATCAAAGGGTGTCTCTGAATTAAGTACTCACACTTCATTTTAAAATAAATGTGGGTACTTACCTTCCCTGGCTGTTCAAAACACCCAGCCAGTCTCCCCAGTCTCATAGCTTCGCAGAATAGGAGTAGAGACCCAACTGCAAAGCAGCTGGCCTGAAATGCAGAGCTGGCAGCTGGCAAGTTAAGAGAAAAAAATACATAGTACGCTATGTCATGCTGTTGAAGTTGTACTACCAAAGAGAGAACATGAATATTCACAATTTGGTTCTTTCACCTTTACGTAGGGTTTTTGTTTCTTTAGTCTACAAACAGAAATCAAGACAATACGTGACTGAAGGAAATATTAATTGTATACAGATCCGATGGGTAAATATTCACTAATAAATTGTGTTTTGTATTTCAATCCTAATGTCTCATTATGATTTACAAGCATAAAGTAATTCTCAATGTTTGATAGGTGAATTATGCCCCCACAATGAGATACTTATTATCAAGTACATCAAGTGCACTGAGTGATAAGGTCAGTGTTATACAGCCATTTAAAAACGGTGCCATTATTAAAACCTAGTAATTCTGGTCATCATCCCAACTTTCAGGAGAGTTAACCTAGCTCAAATAACTTCTTCTTTAAAATGACAGTTCTAATGTTAAATTGCAATTTTTCTTTAATTTGTTATAAACTGAGTCGTTGTGCATCGTGACCCAAAAGCATGCTAAATCTTTGCACAGACAACCATCAAGAGTAACCACTTCAGATGCATTTGCAATCTGTACTTTCTGTTATTATTGTTGCTGGCTTAAGAATCCGATCGCCACACTACACTGTAGTCATCTGGTTATGAACAGAATGTGGAGGCTCTGGTATATTTTTCTTTTCAGTAAGTATTTCCTATGGTCAGCTCTGCATAAGGAGTTTTAAACTCTGGCTTGTGGGCCATGGAGTACTTGCAGATGTTTCACGTAATGCTGTCTAGTCACGTAGCATGAGCCCTCTCCTTTTTCTGGAGGCTAAACTCCACTGAAAGCTTTTTCTCTTTTTTTTTTTTTTTTTTTAAAGCAGAGAAACTTTTCCACATGCACAGGTCCTGAAGCTGCCATAAGACTATTACCCAGCTGCACGCAGAGAGGTGACCTATATAGCCACAAAGGAGAAGAAAAAAGAATACCCCTGTCCATGTGCAGCACGAGGAAGGCTGTGATTTAAACAGGGGTGCTGAAGAGGGTCCTGCCCCGCTGCCTGTCCCCTCCTCTTCTAGAGCTGATTTCCCACCCCTGAAGGGGTAATGACAAATGTGTTTCTGTATTCTTACAAAATGTAAGGGACTCCATTTGGGATTTCTGGTGTGTGGGGAAGGGCTCCTGTACACCATATGTCTTCCGACAAGAAAAAACAGGGTGCCATGCCCAGGGGGCCTTGCCTCACCTGGAGGCCATGGCTCAGATCAGAGCAGCCAAAGCCCTGAGGAGGTGTGAGCGGTGGCAGACCCGTCAGGCTGCTCTCAGCAGAGGCACCCCAGCCATCAGGACGGGGATGACCACCTCCACCTCCACCCACGACATGCTGAATCCAGCTCTGAACCACCCTGGAGCTCACTGCGTGTCAGTGGTGCCAAATCAGCCTGCTTGTGAGCTGAGCATCTCCGTCCTGCTCCAGGGTGGGCTGAGCAGGGCAGGAGGAGGAGGCAGCCAGGTTTTAGACAGTCAACTAAGGTGTGCTTTAAACTCTGAAATCCTTCTTTTGCTTTGAAAGCCTTAATTTCTGGTTCTTCTAAAACTTGCTGGCCTGAAAGACGCTGCTCTCTTTTCAGACATGTTGATGTTTTTTCCTCCTTTGAATGGAAGCAAGAGGGGAGGAGTGGGGAGTGGCCTTCTCTCGCCATATGTCCGATCTCACTGAACACCATCCATTAGAAAGACTTTATTCATTAGATATTTTATTATTCACCACAGGCCCTCCAAATGGAAAGATTTACCCTGTACCCCACATCAAAGTGAGATACTGGATTAAAAAGGTGAATTAAACTATGAAAAGCCTCCCTCTAGGAGAGTGCAGCTTCAGTAAGAGTCCAATGAAGAACGGTGCACGGTATAAACACTTCAAAAGTAGCTCTCAACCTGTAAATTCACACCTGGCTTATCTAGAGCTCTAATCACCGCTGGACTTTTCTGCCCTAAATCTGGGTAATACATCAAGATACTCTGTTTAAAACAATGTTTTTAGTTTTCAAAACAAGGGAAAAGGACAAAAGACTGATATAGCAGCTACTGCAGCATATCCACTATATACAAAACAGAAGCAGACAAATTGATTAAGCAGTACAATCATGCAGTATTAGCTTTAGAGAGTGTAAATTTCTGTTTGAGTTCATCCAAAGATATTGGGGGTTACTTGTAGGATTTCTCTAGAAAAAGACACATCAGACCTGCCAGCCACTGGTTGTGGCAGACCTTTGGTACAGCGAATCTCAACACAGCTTCAGAAATGAGTTATATGAATTATACTTTAAATCCTCAGTAAATTTGAAAACATTATGACAGAGCTCACCGTCAACTGATTAAAGTTCCCAATTCATTAATTTTCTCTTGTCAGGCCTGAGAGTTTATTTCAACAAGGCTAGGAGTCAATTGCCACCACCCTCGATTTTGATGCAACCTGCAAGTAAAGAAGGGGATATCGCATGGTTTGGGGGCATAGTGTGACACTGAGGACACAGTGAGGATACTCACAGCCTCCTCTGCAAGAACAGGATTTCTCTTTTAGTTGTGGATGCCCCATCCCTGGCTGTCTTCAAGGCCAGACTGGATGAGGCTTTGAGCAACCTGGTCTAGTGGAAGGTGTCCCTGCCCATGGCAGGGGGATTGAAACTGGATGGTCTTTAAGGTCCCTTCCAACCCAAACCATTCTGTGATTCTGTGGTTCTAAGATCACTGCAGGGTCAGGAGATGGATCTGGGCGGCGTGAGGCAGTGGTGCAATGGGAAGTGAAAGAAGGAGGGCAGGAAGGCAGGCTGCTGCCTTTCCACGCTGTGCCTTGGCACCTCCTTGGGCAACCTGCGACAAAGCAGCTCCTGCCAGCTCTTCTGCTCACCTTGGGAGCCAGACAGTTTTGTTATCTCAGGTGCTATATATTGGATAAAGATGGCATCAGTGTGTTACAACAGTACTTAATAAATTTGAGGGCCTATATTTTACAGAGCCTTATCCCATAAGCTAGCAAATAAATCACTGGGGGACTGAGGTTGGGACACATTTAAACCCCAGACCCTCTTTTATCCTCAGTGATTTCAGGGCCAGGAATGCTGGCAGAGCCACAGCCACGTTCTCAGCAGCAAACCTTCCTTACTGCCCCACTTTCCCTAGGGCGCATCACCTACCAGACACGCAAGCAGAGAAAACCCTGAGGCTGCCCACAGATGGGTGCCATGAGGTCCAGGTTTGGCCACGCGGGGTCTGCCGACACTCCCTCCTCTGCCCCTCAAAGCCACCCAGTCACACCAGGTGCTGCATGAATACAGGCAGCTGGTGACCTGCTTGCACAATCTCAACCCTGTCCAAATCCTGCTCCTAACCCCACCAGGCAAAGCCAGCGGTGCTGGTGCCTACAAGAGGCATGAATACAGCCAGCGTCACCCACCCACAGCCCTCACCATGGATGACAGGGCTTGGCAGTGAGCACATGCAGATTCCCTGGCCATTGCTGGTGGAATCGCCCGTTGCCTGCTGTGTACACCCCCAAATCCCTGCAAGGCTCACTCAGCTTTTCACATCTCCCCTGAAGCCTCACTGTCCAGGACCCTTCCACCAACAGCCATGGAGCCGCAGCAGCCAGGGCAGCAGCAAATTCTGGGCTCTGGCAAAGGAAATTTTGGACTCTACCTGGAGGAAGCTCCCTCCCCACCAACCAGCAGGGCTGCCGTCCTGAGGAATGTGCCCAGGAACCAGACAAGGCACATGCCACACCCCAGATTTGGGCTTCCCACAGCAAGTGTTCCTTGAAACCCCGCTCTCAGGAAGGTGTGGGGCATGCCAGGAGGGAATGCTGCTGTCAGGGTTCAAGGGCACCCATGGGCCTTAATCGCCCCAACCAGGCCCACCCAGGACCCCCACCCTGGCAACCCTGCCCAGGGGCCCATGGTTGCAGAGGAACTGGAGAAAAAGGTCATTAGGTGTAACTGTGGCAATAAACTCATTTGTTGAGGTAGTTTATAAATTTTAAGTACTTGGCAGCATTTCTGCACCTGATTGGAACAAGGAACGAGAATAATTTACCTCTAAATGTGTGATGGGATTTTTTTTTTTCACGTGTGAAAACTCCAAGCATAGTTGTTCTTGCAGCAATCATGGAAAGCTCTGCATGATTCAGGCTTTTCCAGCAATTAGAAAGCTGCATAGTATTGCAAAAGTGTGTTACAGGAAAACTTGCCTCATCCCCTCCTTTGCCAGTGGATCCCCATATTCCCTTCTGACCCCAAGGACTAAGATGCAGCCTGAACTGAGGGATGAACATCCCAGGTACACAAAACATTACTGCTACCCAGGGAGCATTCAAGAAAAGGTGTGCATTTTTGTGGGTACTAAAAGCTGCCTTTCTAGCCTATCTCACTTCCACCAGCAGAAGCATGAAAGGGAGGCAAGAAACAGACTTACATGATTCACTTAAACATCTTCTGACTTGTTGGGGAGGGATGTTTCCTAACATTTACCAGTTTGATTACTGATTTCTTGAGGTCGCCCATGTGGGGACTAAGGTGAGACTTGCAAGTGTTACGGAGAAACTAGCTGTAGCACCTGGCTGGTCAGATGGCTTCTCGATCGCTTCTTGAAGAACTAGGTTAGTTTCCCTTTTCCCCCTCTCCCTTCGAAGAAAGCCGGAAGCTCAGGCACCGCAGCCAGTACTGGATGGGGACACAAGCAGTAGCAGA